ACTCTCTTCCTCTCTCTCTCTCTCTCTCTCTCTCTCTCTCTCTCTCTCTCTCTCTCTCTCTCTCTCTCTCTCTCTCTCTCTCTCTGTGCTATTGGCGCGCCTGGTTGTGATGAAGCCGAGACCCAAGGTCGGCAGAGCATCCCAGACCACGCCACCACTCCCCTTATTTACGACTCACACATGACGGGTTTACGTGGCTCTCATATACATGTATACAAGTCTCCGTCAACAGCTTATAGAGCAGCTAGTACTTTCATGGGAAAATGCGACTTTTACAGGTGTTGACGTGGGGCGCGTTCAGGTAGCGTCGTGCTAAAGAGGGTATGAAGAAGAACAAGTAGAGGAGAGAAACAAAAAATATAGGATAAAATGATGCGGGGTGGCAGTAATTTAACACAGTGCTCTATGACATCGCTACTCTACGTGGAATGAAATCGTACAGTGGAGAAGCAGAACCAGTGCTACCTGGTTCATTTCAGACCGTTCAGAATACCCTGGACACTGCAGTACCAATATGTTATTAGTGCCTCTACTTAACTAAACCCCACTCGTACCTGTAACTAGGTGATGTCGGCAATACTTGCATAACCAATGCCATTCCATTCCTACATAGGACCGGAACGTTATTATTTGTGGGTTCCTGGACGTGATGGCTTTTAATCTACGATCAGAACTGAAGATATACAATGTAGCCAGAGACAGTCAAGAGCTGTAGGGTTGGCTGAAAACGTTCTCATGAAAATCGTGTGCTCAGAAACGATGATACAATATCATGAAGAGCCAAAAGCAACTTCTCACCCATGTGCACGCAGGGGGGATTCGCCATAACTTGAGGCTATGATACTGCTCTGTCAAAGAAGGAACGATACTGCCCCAAACGGGTGTAGAATGTTCGTGCATGGCAAGATCCTAGTATTGTACGATACATCATAAATGTTGTAAAACCTTGGGTAGTATATACATGTACTTGAATATGACCACGATTCTATCGACTTGAACTAAATGCACATGAACCTGCGCTATGATGGTGTATAACCCGAAACACTCAGTAGCACCTTCACAGTATGAATAATGTGTAGTGACCACTGCCATAGTACATTTTGTTTCCTGCGATTATACTTGTAGTTGTGCAAGAAGGGAGGCGCCTGCTTGACACCTAACTAACTCCTTGACCTGTGTACAACACGGAGGCTGATAATCAAGGTGACGTATAGGTACCGAGCGTAAGAACATACAAGAAGGCCCTCTGTTTTAAACATGCAGCTTATCCACCTTCGCTACCTGGATAAGCTCTGCAGGTCCGGTGGCGTAATTACGTTTTACTCAGCTCAACGCTGCTGTTGCAAGGTTGTTTTCAACATGAACAGAGCGATCGGAAGGTGCACCCTTGCAGAACACAGACAGGAACATAATGGCTGAAGAGCGGGCTTCACGTGCCAGTGTGTGTGTGTGTGTGTGTGTGTGTGTGTGTGAGCGTGAGTGTGCGTGTATACCATTATGTGTGTGTGCGTTTCTGTGTGTGTGCGCACTTGTGTGTTTGTGTGTATGTCGATCTTCCTCCTGCCTCATTGAAATTCCCAGCAAAACATGAAGACATGAAAACATGAAGACGTCTCGAGCAACTGTAATGCATTGGGATAGAACAACCAACCCTTGTATGTGCATGGCTTGCTATGATATCACGATAATTGTTGCGTGCGTGCGTGCACTGTAGGGAGATCGAGGCATTGGTAGTCTATAAGGACAGTAAAATGTAATTGTAATGGAGGGGTCAGGATGCGTTAGAGACTTAGAGACATCTTGTTTCCATGGGTTACCGGTATATACACGTACAATTGGGGTGATAGTACTGGGATACTCATCTCCTCTCCCTCGTCGCATAAGCCTGCCCAGATCCAACCGAGGTCATGCAGGTAAGCTTCCCAAAACGAATCCAGTCTCATATGGGCTCCCGAGGGATAGAGAAGGGGCGGTGGGAATTATAGTCGCACATTATTGGGAATCGAGGCCGCAGGCTCGCACTTGGGAGCCCAATCAAATGCTCCAGCTGTTGTGCAACACGTGGAGAGAAAAGTTTGTTGAAATTCAAACCTCCGTATTGTCTCGCTCATGAGGCAAGTGCTTATCAATTTATTATATTAAAACACTGTCAAAGTTAATAGTGGACAGAAAGTACACGGCGTATATAGCACAATCATGGACAAATGTTCTGGAGTCATTCCTTCAAACCTTGCTTTCTTGCTCAGAATAGAGCGCATGGCACATTTTGTTATTTATCAGTTTCCTTGAGAGCACAGAGTCACCAGCATTGATGAGATGGAAGTAGAAGCAAGAGACGAATAGGACGTGCAACCTCTCTCATTAGGCTGCGCATCTGGTGTGCGATTAGTCACCGGTATAATATCAGCATGACAATGGTATGATCTTTGCAGGCACATGTTGGGTCAAGAATGGGAGGTAACAGCGTACAGGCAACACCTCAGGGTAAGCATTGTTGAGGCTGAGGATTTACCGGTATCCCTCTTTGAGCATATTCCCGACAATTGCAGTACATAACATACAGTGTAATGGTCGGGAATACATTGTATGTCCGCAATGCGTTGGCATGATGTGTAATGTCATGATACATGCAGGCCTCTAGGGTTTGCAAACGGCAGTCATTTATCCCTGTCCGTCAGATCTTACATTATCAGAACAATGCAGCGCAACGGATGGGGAGCGAAAATCTCTCGATAGTTCGAGGTAAAAGTGATGTGGCCTTTTCAATTTCACTGTTTCACCGCCGCGTCATTGTCATTGTTTGCGCATTGGACAGCCGCTGGACATGAGCTTTGACATGCGCCAATCCTCTGCGGTTCATCAAAGCTGAGGTGAGGGATTGGGCACCAGCACGTAGTGAATGTACCCAGCACGTCCCGTCCATCATTAATCCTGGCAGAGTGATACTGATTGTGAATGCCGCTCAAAAGGCTCTAGAGCCCGCAGGTGAAGGCTTCGAGGGACTTCGCCATTCACCTGAGTCCCCAATAAGAAAAGTGGCCGCCGCTAAGACAAAAGGGACAGGCAAGCTGAGGAAAAGAAACTTCTCGACATTGCCAAAGGTTATGCCTGGTATGCGCAGGAAACGCGGCGGACAGAAGAATTGATCTTCAGGTCCAAATGGGTTTGATATTATGTCATAAGGACCACGTCTCTCGAGAATGCTCTTTCCTGTTCGCACATAGGGAAACTGATAACAGCGGCCGCTATACACTTCCTAGAGCGATTGCCCCGCCGCTAGTCGTGTGGCAAATCTCCCTCCTTACGGGGCATACCTGCAGTCGTGGTGGTGTTGGTGGTTTGTGTGTGTATGTGTGCGTGTGTGCGCATGTGTGTCCGTGCGCGTGTGTGTGCTGCATCCTGATTATGCCTGCTACCTAATGATAAAAAATCAGACAATACGCCACAAAAACGATTTCTCACAGCGGTCCACCAACGGATACGTCGAGTGAAACATAGCGTGTAATAGTTGATTGAGCATCCAAAACACCCCAATACACTCCCATGCCTTCTGGCAACACACTGATCTACTGCAAAATTACGTACACTTGATGAGAAGACTCTGAATGACTCGTACCTGTACCCAGTGATAACATGATGGTGACGTCACCTGACCAGCACGGGCTACGTCGTAGAGTCCCCACTTTCCCCTGTTACGATCTATTTTTAATATTTTTATTTTTTTATTATCATACCTGTGCCCAGCAAGGAGATGAATGCATTTGTATGTTTAGACAATAATGCAGAAATGGGTGTGTATCTGGTGAAGTTAAAATAATATGAACAAACCAGCGAACACTTAGTGCTTGTGTGATGTGATATTGACAAAACGCATTACAGCCTCACAATGGAGAATCAAATGAGAATTTGAACTCTCCAGCAAAGCGTTCCCGAAAGTGGAACCTGTACTAGTATTTAATGCCAGCTTGCGCAAATTATGCTGTTAAAATTCAACTCAGTGTTGTGACCCATTTAATCCGTTATCACAGAAAGTATAGTGTTCGAAATGCTGATTTTTTTTCAGAAATTGCAGTTACGGGCAACGTTGCAGAACGCCGTCTGCTATGCAGCGTGGGCGTGACCAGCTAGCAGCTAGCCATAGTGTCCCACCCGAATCTTTACTGAAATATATTTCCACCAATGACAGCCCACAGAATGCCCAATTCATGGAATGACATGACATTACAGAGTGACATATACAGGTGGGGTACTACACTGCAAGGAGAAGGTGGAACAACTTCTTGAGCTGAGGAATAGACACTCAATGGGAGTAGATAGCATGATATATTTTGGGGGAGAGCGACGTGATAACTAACACAACGCTGTGGAAGTGTAGATGATGTAAGTGCGAGAATAAGGTGTAAATGGGAGTGTGAGTGTAAGCGCCAGCGCAACCCTGGTGGGATAGGTCACAGAATGTACGATGCCCTTGTACCGCAGAGCTTTGCACGTAGCCAGTAGAGGAGATGTTTGAAAATATGTTTCAACTGCGAGGGTCGCGTTATGTAAAATAATGTGTTCCAAGACTGGAAGCCTGAATTTAAGGAGGAGCGAGGCAAGGAGCGTATACAATAGCACGAGCTATAACTTCATGGAACAGTGGACTGCGAGCCATTCAGTAGTGGTGCAATGGTGGTGTACATGCATGAGATGAAATGCACCGCTGAAAAGACTCTGACTGCGACGTAATCTTTTCCTAGTTCACATGACGATGATGGTAGCCCCACCAGCAGAGGCTACACATATGCGTCCCTGCTCTCATCGCAGTTCTAGCAACGCATTAGATGTGTTTCTAAACAACTCAATTTCTCTAATGTAGGCTCTATCTTACCGTTGTGTATTTTAAGTAATAAAAATAGGAGCCGCAAATAATTCAAATTAAAAGATATAAAGACACCAAGAAACCGCTCTTACCTACTATGCATGTCACAGACAATTTCGATAGTGTGACTACCCCTCCATTGAACTTCAGCTTTTGCTCGTGAGTCATTCTACAGTGTGTCTGAAAACAGCTGGTAAAGTGTATAGCGCTAGATGGTTAATGTGCAGGTGGTTAGTGAGAGAATGCGGGTGATTGTAGTAGACAGGAAAAGTACAGTATATTAGAAAGAGTGATTGTATTCTTGTAACCACGATGGCTCGCTGATAAGAAGTATAAAACGAAAGCGCTCCTAGGAGATCAATGTGTTGTATGGTGGCGGAGCAGCTGGTTATGAAGATGCGCGCAATGCCCTGAAATGGTAAATACTCCCTTTGTGCATGTGCGTATTAATAATTATTATGTTAAACATAAGCAATACTGGCTTTTTGGAACCCGGAGATTAAGAATCGAGTTGCAGGCTGACTCTCCTGCAAAAGAAATGTATGGGCGGAAAGAGGTACAACATATTTCCAAGGATAGAGATAAGCCATCATGAAAAGAGGAGACCAGTGGAAACGTTTAAAAGTGCATAATGTTGCATTTGAAAGCAAATGAGCAGAGTGTGTGTAGTGAATCTAGTAGTGCATTCGGTTTTATCCACGCCTTCTTAGCTTCATTTCCACAAACTTCAAACTCTTGTACCCGTTATGATTGTACACTGCACCTCTTGCGTCTCCATCACTACGTCCATACAATCCATTGACATTGACATTGTGACAGCTGTTATACCACCAACCACCCTTGTATTCATTGGAACAGTCTCCATGGTAAGAGTCATGATCACGGTCTCGAGTACTGAACTGCTGTCCATTGAAGTAAGTCATTCTGTCTTGCAATGTAAGGCTTGAGGATCCTGAAACATGTAGTCTGTAATTGTTAGCTTCACCTTCAACACGGAATGTTGACCACTTGGCATAATGCTTCTCTCCAGTTGTCTTGAACACCATATCAATACGCAGTTCATAAGTACTACCAGCTTGTGACGTCAGATAGTGTAGTGTATCTAGACCCAGCCAGAACTCTCCAGAAGCTGATCCGAATCCTCGTTTGTATGCATTCCAGTCACGGTAAAAGTCCACTGAGCCATCTTGTCTTCTCTGAAACACAATCCAGCCACCTCCATCAGTCTCTCGATCACAGTATGCAGTGAATGTCGTATTCGGTGTTGTACCAGTGAACAATCCTGATTGCCCGTGGTTAGTTCGTTCACACGACGCATTTGCTGCAGGATAAACACAGTGGAAGGATGAGGGGAAAATTGATAACTCAAAAGATAACATGAACTGCTTTCCAAACATGCTGCAACCCTTTTGAAAACCAACATACATTCATGTACATGTACTTACGTACTCACCCCGGTACCTGTATTTATCTTCCTATCCATCTACGTGTACTTGGAAGTAAGCAAAGGCCAGGCATTAGTGAATAAGTGGAAATCAACACTTGAAAGAGTAACCTATCTACCACCAGTAGAGCAGTTCAAGCAAGAAGATTAATAAAAGGGAGTTGAAAAGTCCACAAGGATGGAAATAAACTAAGACTCTTTTTCGTATTGAAATTTGAAACGCATAGGCATGAAATGAAACCATTGCAGTACTGCACAAAACCTAACAGATTTTAGATTGTTGTAAGGAGAAAGGGAGCTTTGCTTTGATAATTGTAGTGGGTTGGAATGCTTTGGTCGTTTTGGAATAATCTGTTTGCGATGAATCTGAGTTTCTCACCAATTCAAGATCACTGGAAGTAAATACAGATCAACATAGTGTTTGATGGTAGCTTTCTGGCCTGAAACTCACAAGTAGCTTTTCCAGGTGGTGGTTCATATGCCAGTTCTGTGTTATATACCTTATACATGAAGATTCACATTTGCAACGAAAAGATTTTTCTCTGTGTGCACGTACAAAATAATTATCAGCTAAACGCGTTGAAATAAAATATCAATACATTACATCATACCTTCTTGATTTCCCTGGCCTTCATCCAGGCAGTGATTCTACAAGAAAAAGGCAAACGTGTGTGTTCAGTGAGGGCTGCGTACCACCATTCTGTGTAGTTTCACAGGAAGCGTGAATTTCGAAGTCTGAAGAAAGTGTTGAACTGTTTCTGCTGGATTGACAGCTACGCTAATGTAAGGGCATGACATACAAATTACAGGCAACTGTTCAGTCTCTTTGCCTTTAGTAGGGTTATTACTAGACACATTTTACTTGCCTCATTATTTCTCTTTGATAAGCAACATTTGCAAATGTATAACAAAATATGTAGAAATGCGGTACTCTGAAAATGACGATAAACATACCTGCATATGACTGCACACATGACTATATGAGTATATGTACATGTATATGTATGTACTGTGCTTACCAGTGCTACAACTTCAGATGAGAGCTGAGTCAAAGTGGAATTGAACTTAGTCATGACTTTTTGCTCAAGTCTCAGGAGAAAGGTTTCGATCCGACTGACGTCGTCATGTCTCGCTGCGTCTATCCCTCGCTCCAGGTTCTTCATCTGATCACTGATTTGATGCACTGTGTTTGCGTACTTTCGGAACGTTCTTGCATCCAGCAACTCTAAGGTATCAACACACACATGGATGGTAAAACATTGTGTTTCGTCGTTTGACTAGTAATCAGGTGAATGCTGAGTAGACCCTTACGCTCTTAAAATTCCCCGCCACGTTAGAATATCAGTCAATTCCTCAATGTCAATATTTTTCTTTTCCATCTCTGGAGCTAGGATGTCAATCCTGCCCCTCAGCCAACAGCACGGTCCTTCATCCAAAAAGTTGCTGTTGGTTCGAGTTTCGACCCTATTTCCACCTCCAAAAGAGAGTACGCTTATAGGAACTTTTGGCAACCCTTTTGAAAACCAACATACATTCATGTACATGTACATACATACTCACCCCGGTACCTGTATTTATCTGCCTATCCAACTACGTGTACTTGGAAGTAAGCAAAGGCCAGGCATTAGTGAATAAGTGGAAATCAACACTTGAAAGAGTAACCGATCTACCACCAGTAGATCGGTTCAAGCAAGAGGATTAATAAAAGGAAGTTGAAAAGTCCACAAGGATGGAAATAAACTAAGACTGTTTTACGTATTGAAACGCATAGGCAGCTCACATTCATAACCTCACACTAACTGTTAGCTACAATGCAAATCTCTTGCCTAAAAGACAAATATTCCACTGCACAAGTCTCTTTCACCCTGATATTTCCGATATTTTTCCAGTCCCCAAGTAAACAGTCAAATCAGCTCCGGGGTATCCATGTTGGTAACGCAGCATGAACAAGCGTCGCCATCACTATCCTCCCATTATGAATTTTTCTTGTTATAGCCTGGGAATGATGATCATATTTTCCTACTTATGCATATCTCGAGAGAAATGAAAATTCACAACCGGATAGAGGTGTGTGTGTGGAGATTGGTGTACATGTATGTAAGTAAGCGCATGCGTGTGCTAGTTCGCGTGCGGGGAAGTGTGGGTGCACGTGTGGGGAACTGAGCGCAAGCATCAATAGTTACTGTGCGGCCAAAATGCAATGGTTATTGCTTGAACATTAGGAACGGAGAGGGTATCAATATTTACTGGCTGGACAAAAATGCAGCAGCTACTGTTTGAACATGGCACGCCAGTGATTTGTGTCAGCGGCAGTAGCCCGAACTTCTTCCAAGTGCCCCACAGTCTTCAAAGGTATGTTCTTTTTTGGAGATCCCTGATAACCATGGTGGCGAGTGTCGTCTTGGGTCTACCACGGTGGCCAATAGCGTCTCGTTTCACGTAGCATGATAAAGCTCTGAAGGCAGGTGCATTGGGATCCATCTGAAGGATAGTTTTTAATTTCTTTTTACAAGATGACCCCAAACTATCATGGTGCAAACACCGCCAAAAACGCACAGGTATGCACAAAGCGATGGCAGCCGAAGCAGTTGAGGCGGAGCAAGAGCAGCTACACAGACCAGGGGTCTCGGTTTCAGCACTACCAACGCGCGCTAAACAGAGATGTACGAAAATAGAAAAAAAATGAGCAGGAGCACTACAGAGTAAATGGGAAATAATGGTGGCAGCACGGGTCACGGAATGTGTTGAATGGGAGGAAAAGATTCAGGTGCAGGCACACAATACATTAACTACACAATAGCGAGAATTTCCAGATTGCCTAGAGTGCTCAATACCACAAGGATGGAGTATTACCAGAAAGGCAGAAGAGAACAGAGACAGCCGGCTAGGTCATTGTTGTAACGCTGATTTTCATGCACATAGCAAAGCTAAGGCAATCCTCAGACAACTGATAACCTCAACATCATCTGGGTCCAAATTTATACCCCGCAGGTAGCTAATACAGGGCGCGCAAAGTGAGTGAGGCGCGAAAAAGCATGTGGCATAGCGCGCAAAGGTGGCAAAAGCGCGACATTAGTGTGACATTTCAAGTGATACGTTAGTTAGGGAGACATGGTGTGGATGGTGTCGGTTACTACGTAGGAGGTTAAAAAAGGAGGGAGAGAAGGAGGGGTGACAGTCAAGTTACAGTGACGGCGGGCAGGCAGGCAGGCCCAGGCCTGGGCCTGGTGGCGGCAATCAGGTGACTAAGTGACGCCAATGCGATAGCGCGAGAGGTAGAACTTATTCTGGTGTCGACATTTTGATACTAATTTTGATTTGTTGTTGTGGAGCGTGGCTGCGTCAGCGCGGATGATTTTGACCTTCCCCGCTAAGCGCAGGCTGCATCATTTTGAGATGTTGCTGTAGGTCTTTGCTCTATCGACGATGGACCACCTGATGCAAAATTACGTCAAGGTCAGCTACTCGTGTATGCCCAATATGGCCTGCCTAATTAAGGGGCACAACCAGAAAGTTCTGGCCCCGGCCGACGTGCGAAAACCTGTAGAGGAATGCAACTGCCGAGCTAAACCCTCTTGCCGTCTGGACGGCCAGTGTTTGCAGGAAAGGGTGGTCTACCAAGCGAACGTCATGGCTCGGAGCTCAGGTGACGATAAGCAGTACTTCGGGCTTTCCGAGACACCGTTCAAGACGCGCTATGGCTACCACCTCACGATTATGACAAACGAAAAGTACCGCAAAAGCACGCAGCTGTCGAAGCATTTGTGGGCACTGCAGGACCAGGGTGAAGAGTACGACATCAGATGGTTCATCTTCGACAGAGCAAAAACCTACAGCAACATCTCAAAAAGATGCGACCTGTACGTAGCGGAAAAGTCAAAATCATCCGCGCTGACGCAGCCACGCTCCTCAACAACAAATCAGAATCAGCCTCAAAATGTCGACACCAGAATAAGTTATACCTCTCGCGCTACCGCATTGGCGTCACTTAGTCACCTGCATGCCGCCACCAGGCCCAGGCCAGGGCCTGCCTGCCCGCCGTCACTGTAACTTGACTGTCACCCCTCCTTCTCTCCCTCATTTTTAACCTCCTATGTAGTAACCGACACCATCCGCACCATGTCTCCCTAACTAACGTATCACTCGAAATGTCACACTAATGTCGCGCTTTTGCCACCTTTGCGCGCTATGCCACCTGCTTTTTCGCGCTTTACTCACTTTGCGCGCCCTGTTTTAGCTGAGGATTGCCTTAGCTTTGCTATGTGCATGAAACGCAGCGCAACAACAATGACCTAGCGGGCTGCCTCTGTTCTCTTTTGCCTTTTTTGTTGCAATACATTGACTGCATACGCCCAGCTGCAGGCATCCGAATGCATACACACACGCACACGCACACACACAAGTAGTTTATGGCTGGCAAGTATGAAATAGGTTCAGAGCTGCACCTTTTGTACAAGGCATCGTTCGTTATGGTGAGGGTGACGAATTCCAAGAATTGTGCGTAGCTGTTTCCTGTGGAATACGTCCAGAGATTACAGGTTTCCCTTCGTGAGTCCCCACGTCTCACAATTGTAGAGGGGAGGGTGGAGATCACGAGGGCATTGTATATTCTCAGCCGATGCCTTTCTGATACCTTCTCCTTCCCGTGCCACAGGCAGAACATTCTGCCAAAGACCTGCGAGGCCCTTTCCATGCAGTGAGCAATATCATGGTACTGGACTGGTAGCTCGCAAACCATCCTGGACTTGTAAAATTAATAGATTACAAGTCTACAATCATGTCTGTATGTACAGATTGAATGTTAAACGCCTTCTTGACTTGACAGGTTGCGAGCGGTCCACAAGGGCGTCTCTGACATTTGAAAGGAAAAGATGTTTTGGCGGGGAAGTCGGCAAAGTTTTTTTAAGTGACGGTCCCTTTAGTTCAACACGGGTGTATTCAAACAATACGACATGGAAAGAAGGAAGAACACCAAAGACACAAGGGATGAAACTCGACGATATAATAAAAATAAAAATTTGAAAAGTCTAATCCAAAGAAACTCAAGGCAGATGTAACAAGGTTGTGTAGAAGATTCAACTCAATCCCTAGACGAATGCTTTGAAAGATGAATGATTCAAGCTGAGACTTTGGCACGCCGAGAACAACAAAATTAAAATGAATCGAAGTAAAAGGATAACAATAGAAAACGCAACAGTAAAAAAGCAGCTACAAAAAGTAACAATCCGACCAACAGAAATAAAATCGGACAATGGAAAACAAAGGCTACCACAACACAAGCACACCAAAATCTAAACAATCATACCAGAAGCTACTCAAAAAGCTCCAACAGGTCTCAAAAAGACACAGCAAGAAAAACGTAGGGTCAATGACAAGACATAATTCATTAATGCGGCCGGTGAGCCTAAGCTCGACACTCCGTGATAAATTTGTCTCTTTAGTCGTTCGTATTGGGATCAGCTCATCACTGTACAACTCACGGCAATACAATGTATGTGCTGACAAATGTTGTTCAATGGACGAAATGCAATTCTCCATCTAACCTCTTTGCGACAACTCCAATGCCCGCCTCTGAAATTATTGGTGGCCTTCCAAGTTTTCTGAAAGTAGCTACTGTTGGTGCGATGTCCAGTGTGCGATAGTTCTCACCTTTACCTATCAATTTATTGCATACATTTCACACCCCTCTAGTCTCATGCAGGCAGTATTCACACTTCCTTCTTACTTGACACTTCATTCTGCTCACATTCTCATTGGTGTTCTTCTCACATTCTCATTGGTGTTCTCTCTATCACCTTGTGCCATAAAACACGGCTCTTCTTAGTTGAGAGGGTGTGTTATTTCCAAGCTACTAATGCAGTCTGTTACACAGTGTCTTTTCAGTTACGTTGTCATTGTACGTGAGTCTTCGTCAGTTCGTACTTTTACTTGGCTTCGTTTGACCCTTCCCGACGGTGGTTTACGTGTCGGCCTTTCACCACATCTCACGTTGTTCTGGATTGGCTCCCGTCCTGCCCAAGCAGAGGAGGAGGGGCACTCAGTCACATCTTCACAAGAAGAGTATGATCCACTAGTGAACCGGACTGCACATGTTGGAGGACGATCACGTCGAGGACGAGACTCACGTGCATCACGTTTAACGAAACTTTTACGCATTCGCCTTTATAAATACATTACTTGAAGAATGTATATAACTAGTACACTGTTAAACAGTATGATATACATTATTGTGTTGGCGAATGCGTGCGGCCAGATGCTGTAAGGTTCTGCCTACAGTCAATTTCGCTAATAACGACTGCCGATGTAACAAAAATTCGCGAATAACGACAGAATTTCCATGCCCAGAGCAAAGTCTCGTCTCACTGTAATACATATTCAGTCAAATTTGCGTATAATGACACTCGGCGGGGCATCAGAAAAGTGTCCGTATTCGCGAAGTGTCCTTATAGCCGGAGTCTCAATAATATTGCTACACTCCCCCCTTTTCAATGGCTATTTGCATTGGCTTAAGCTGCACCAGGAGACAAAGGGCCTTTCTACTTTAACAGCATTCAGAAACGCCTTGCTTTACCAGTAGACCACAATTTTAGTCCATATTTGCTTCTTTCTTCTTTTCCTTATCTTTTTGACTTCTTACTCTTTTCCATGTTAGCCATGGTTGGCTATAAAAACCCTGCAATTGCCACGCAAAGTGGTCATTGGCTACCCCAGCCATGTATTGCTTGGAATAAAATAAATAAATAAAATATATGTAAGGTTTGCTCCCCACACCGGAGCTCGCGCTATTCCGCCGACTTTACTTGACACTTGACTGACTCACGACTGCCATCCAGAGCACACGAGAAGTCCATCGAACCTTCGACTCGGCAAACCTGCAAGAAAGCACCACTCCCTGCTCAATACACAGTGTTTCGGGGAATTCACCCCTCATCAGTTGAGCTTGAGTAGGCTGAGGAAGATTGTGCCTGAAGAGCACCACTTATATAGTGCTCTCCAGGCACAAACATCACAAGGGATACAAACTTACAGAGACGCTCTGCTTCCAGCGCGATAAACACCTCGTGAACACCAGATAGCAGCGTGAGTCAGTGTCGCTCCTGGACGGTGAGACAGACGTCGAGGACCCTCGGTCATTCGCAACGCTGTCGCCTCCAAACCAACTAGTCGCAAGCCCGCGCTGGGCACAACAGTACGAAGTAGTGGTTGCGACTTCGGCGATGATTTGTAAGAAAGGTTTGCTCCCCACACCGGAGCTCGCGCTGTTCCGCCGACTTTACTTGACACTTGACTGACTCACGACTGCCATCCAGAGCACACGAGAAGTCCATCGAACCTTCGACTCGGCAAACCTGCAAGAAAGCACCACTCCCTGCTCAATACACAGCGACACTAACTCACGCTGCTATCTGGTGTTCACGAGGTGTTTATCGCGCTGGAAGCGGAGCATCTCTGTAAGTTTGTATCCCTGGTGATGTTTGTGCCTGGAGAGCACTATATAAGTGGTGCTCTTCAGGCACAATCTTCCTCAGCCTACTCAAGCTCAACTGATGAGGGGTGAATTCCCCGAAACACTGTGTATTGAGCAGGGAGAGGTGCTTTCTTGCAGGTTTGCCGAGTGGAAGGTTCGATGGACTTCTCGTGTGCTCTGGATGGCAGTCGTGAGTCAGTCAAGTGTCAAGTAAAGTCGGCGGAATAGCGCGAGCTCCGGTGTGGGGAGCAAACCTTTCTTAAAAATCATCGCCGAAGTCGCAACCACTACTTCGTAAAATATATGTATTACAGTTAGATGGGACTTAGCTATGGACATGGAAATTCTGTCGTTATTTGCGAATTGTCGTTATACATGTAATTGTATCCGCAGTCGCTATTAGCGAAGTTGACTGTATTGAGACTTCGGATATAAGGACACTTCGTGAATAAGGACACTTTTCTCATGCCCTGCCGAGTGTAGTTATACGTAAAGTTGACTGTACATACATGATTTTAAATTGATTATCCGGCGAGAAGTGTCTTCTTGACTGGTTGCGTGAAATTGCTTGGATGCTTGCGATCTTGACTTCGTTTAGAAATTGTTAACCGCCTTCAAAGTCTGTTACAATTTATTTCGTCATCATTACAAACCTCCGCTCGTACACCCCGGTGATGTAATGCAAAAGTGCCCATTCACACGTACTCTGCATGATAACTGGGTTTTTTTTTCATTCAGGATAGGGTTCCGACTTTCTCCAAATCATTATCCTGTATGCACTGATGAGGATGGGACGAAAAACGTTTGAGATCATGTTTCAGCAGTTAACTGAGTAACGGAAATCAGCAATTGATTGATGTGCCAGGACCAACGTCCGTACATGTATGTGTATGGTGCCACGAGTGTTTCTTAAAAACATCTATTTCTCTTGATCTTACTTTCTTCGCAGCGTTGTCCGGTATACAGAGGTGGACAGTGACAATGAAATGACGATCCTCTCTGTTGACATGTTGCACCGTTCTGACATGGATTACCAGAACAGGATGGCGGTGCTGTGATGTGAGAAAGACAAGCACAATGATGCTAACATTCTTAATCCAGGTGCACTCACATCGTAAAGGTGAGTTTAAAATGGGTTTTGTGTGAAGAAAAAAAAAACTAAAGTGGGAGAGAAGACGAAAGAAATTAGAAGAAAAGATGTGAGAGTGTTCCGACGGTGTGAGCTACTACAAAAGGTGAGTGAAATGAAGGCGTGGAAGCAGGTGAATTTCTTTCGTCTTCTCTCCCACTTTAGTTTTTTTTTCTTCACACCTCACCTTGTATACTCCCCACTATCCTATAACCTATAAAATGGGTTTTGTACCTTTTGTGAACAATATGTAACAAACGTCCTCAACCGTATAAATACTCGGCACTTCTTTAAGACACTGTTTTTTTTAAGTCTTCACATGAATACTTGTGTACATGTATACAGACCAGCTGACAACCTTTTTTCTCAGGTACCATTTCAATGTTTTTAACATTTCGACGTGTCTCCAGCGCATTGAACATGATAAAATGAAACATTAATGAAACATAAGACATGTTGGTAAATTTTGTTATGATGCCTCATTCACGGGGGCAATAGACACTAGAGAGGTTAAGTTTCACGTAAAAGTCTTACGTCCGTGAACTTTTACGTCAAAAGGTGAAAAAGCTCACGTAAAATTTGACGTGTTTTACGTGAGTTGACTGTCCCGCACGTAAGTTCATGACGTGAGTTTTTGGAGGTTTCGCTTGGTTATTCCGACCGAATTTGTGTGAGTTTCCAGAATTTTATCGAGTTTTATCGAGTTTGTTGGAAGATTTGATATTTGTGCGAACTAAACCCGAATCCTGCCAGGCAAAATTTCACGTCACATCGCACGTGTAACTTAACCTCTAAAAATTACACGTAATGTGAGATTTGCACCGCGTTTTGAAAAAGGGCAAAAAACGTGTAACTTAACCTCTCTACTAGCACAACATGTTACTTTTCAAAATTGATCACTTCAATACAATGATCACGGGAGCAAATTACCTGTCTGGCAAAACCTCCCTCTGTAACCATCATCGCATTGGCAAATGTATGCAGCCTTCTCCTGCCCAATACTTTTGAAAATGCACCGTCCGGCATGGCTGCAAGGGTGACTTTGACGGCATTGTGCTTGTTGCCCGGCTGCATTGACAAGAATGACGTTAGACAAGCTGAAATCGTTAGGCCGTCAATTCGGAGCCCTTCATACTGTCGCAATGCATATGGAGGACAGACATCTCAGGTAAAATTGAAACCTTACAAGGGCATTTTCAAGTAGCCAGGAAGTTATAGTGAAATGGAAGAGTCAATGCCAGAGTTCATTATTCGTCCTGGCGTTCCCATACAAGTATGTTGCAAGTTGAAGAACTTATTTCGTTTCAAATTGTAAGCAGTCAAGATTCATAAATGTTGTGCAGTTGATTAAATTTTTTTCGGAGCACAAAGCTGACTTACTGAGGCATTGTATCAACAAATCAGCGTTCCGTCGCCCATCCAACAGTGCAGACAGAAACACAATGTTCGCATTGTGGGCATTCAGCTCATCAATGGGTTGACGAAGACCTTTAAGGAGTGTCTCCGTATTCTGGATGCTCAGACTCAAAGCAGTTGACGGTAGAAGATGAAGAAGTCGTGCCATACAGGACTCAGGAACATCTATTGTGAGAGCAAATCATCATTGCAATATACATGTATTGTATGTGAATATTGCAGATAATTTCAAAGTCCTAAGAACCTTCCAGTTGCTGGTGGATGCCTCGTAGAGCGAAATCGTCTATGCATACTTGGTTGCTACTGTTATCTTATAACATACCTATAGCAATTAATTTATTCCATTAGGTAGGATGAGTAAAACAGTAAACCACTGCCGCCCAATACACGCTGAGTGCTGTGAAGTAAGGTTTAGTAATGTACAGGCCGGTGGAGGGCCTAGCAGAAGGGAGACAGAGAAACAGACAATTTTACAGACGTTATGGCGCTTTACTGGCAGGCAATTCATCCATCTGACTGCTGACTTTGCTGACTTCAACGTAAAGTCGATCTGACTATGAGCATTTGTAACTTGCTTTCGTGAAGTAAAGTCCATTAAGCTCTGTGAGGTAAATTCCATTAAAGGGGAAGTTCACCCTAAAATCAAAATTTCACAGTTTGTAGATTTCGAGGCGCTGAGTTCGGTGGTGAAGGTCCCATCCCCGTGCGATACGCCGTTCTGGAGGTATTTCAATTTGAAATTTTTCATGACGTCATGCGAAATGACGTCATGCGGCCGGCGCACACCCCCTCCACACCCTGTGACGTCAAAGAGATACAGGTTCCCGGTCTGCTTGCTTTTCAGTGAGCGAGAAAGAGTGGCGTTTGTGGAGTTTCTTTCTTGCGACCTGAACAGTTTCAACCACGATGCCGGTTTGCTGTGCTGTCGGCTGCTCTGGCCAATCTGGCAAGCCCCTTGGGACCACGGTGCATCTTTTTCCGCGGGATAAAGCTCTCCGAGCGGAATGGGTTGCAGCGATTCACCGCGAGAATTTGCCACCTACGTTTGAGGAGAGTTGTGCAATTTGCTCGGCACATTTTGAGGAGGATGCCTTCCAGAGGAACGTGCAGGAAGAGATGGGCAAAGCGTGCTGCCGAAAGCTGAAAGCAGACGCTGTGCCATCGATCTTCCCGGATAGGCGTACCCCAGCGAAGCGAACGATGTCGCAGTATCAGGAGAGGCAGGAGAGAGAAGAGGTGAGTGAATGGTTCTGGTAATTTCGTTCTTTGAGAGCGTGTTGAAAATTTGTCTGTACATCGCGAGTTGGAGAGAGCAGTTTCACCCACTGTGTTGAGTACATCGTACTAGAGAAGAGTAGACACCCTTAGCAAACAACGTTATGTTGTAACGGTGTTATCGTAAGGGGGAAAATACCGTGGTTTGGGTTCGACCTTGAGCAAGATGCACGCTATTTTTAGTACGCTGTTGCCACGAGAATAGCTTCGATTTCGCGCGGCACAACCATTTTGTTCACCATATACGCGATACAAGGTGAAATGCGTACGGACTATGCAATATTTGGCTAAAACACGTACCGTTGGTCACAACGATAAATCAGCCCCCATAACGTTTATACGCTGCAGCTTCAACGCTATTTGGGTGATCAAGGTACGAGTACCGTAAAAAACAGCGTTACCGTTGTTTGCTAAGGGTGTCTATTATTAACAAATACCGGTACAAAACTGTTTGCAGTGTGTTGATTGCAAGGTACTAGTATTGAATGAAGACAGAAAGTCGTGCAATATATATTTTTTTAATATTCAAGTTTTACATGTCGTGAAAAAGCAGACAGTGGTCACTCTCTGTCCTCTGCTTGGCCATTTTTTGGTAAGTTTCAATTCCAAGGATGTCTTTATTGTGTTGCATTGTCACTGATATCTGTGTGTATTCCGGGAACATGATCCTAGCTCAAGCCTATGCTGAGCCGTATTCAGCAGCATTTCGGTCTCCAGTTGCATGCGCAGTGAGTCCAGACGATGGCATGATATCTGCTGACGCGTGCACATAGACCCCCGTCAGCACACAGGAAATTTAGAGGTAATGTTATGGCACCCACTGGCACTGTGTAGATCAAATCCACACGTACATATGCTTGCAACATTGGCAGTACATTTTCATGAGTATTCTTTAGCTATATACACACACACACACGCGCGAGCGCGCACACACGCACACACACGTGCAAGCACCTGGCTGACTACAAATAGCGACAGTTTATGATTGCTTTGCCGTGTGTCCATTATGCAGGTGTTCCACCGGAATCCTCGGCCAAGTTTTCCGAATACCAGCCAAATGAATTGTCGGTATGCTGCGTAACGGTACGAGCTGCATTGGGGAACAGGGGAGTAGATCTTCCTGCTGTTAGTCTCACATTTCAACGTACATTTCATTGCAACAGCAGCACACTACAACACAATTATTTTTGAAGAAGTACCCTGGTTATGTAACAGTATAGACTTGATTGATTGGAGAATTCGTCGAATGATGTTCAAACCAGAGGTTATAAAGCAAAAGAAAGGTGAGAACCGCAGGAGTGAGAATAGTAGGAACACAAGGTGTTACCATAAGACAAGCAAGAAGTGTCAAGGTAAAACTATTACACTCTCCCGGCCCCATAGGAAGCCCAAGGTTCTATTAGATAACACAATCCAGTTAGGAGATGCAATTGTGGAAAGGGGAATATTAAATAATCACTCATGCACATGCATAACCACATTGAAGTGTAATCCAACTCAACTTCATCACTCTCACAAGGAGATGACGCAAAACTATATCAGTCTATAACATAATTATTAACTATCTCAGTAAGAGATGCATATGGCTCAGCCCAGTTAGATCAAGGCTGCTGTCGTTGTGAGGCTAGATAGTTCTGCAGCGGTTTAATATTCCGACCAGACTCATCACATAGGTTGCCAGCGGGCTCCCACGTAGCTTCGCTGCTGGGGTAACCCTTCCAATGCACCAGGAAGTGTTGCTCACCACTGCGGTGTCGGTGATTCAAAACGGCTTCGACAACATAGCGTGTGTGTCCATCTAGATCTGTGAAGGGCGGAGGCGGGGGTTGGTGTCTTCCAGGAATCGTGTTCTCTTCGTAGCGTTTAAGAGCAGTGACATTAAACACGGGATGGCAGCGAAGTTCACGGGGTAGTTCCAAGCGAAAAGCATTCTCTCCAATCTTAGCCTGGATACGATACGGACCAAACCACTTGGGTTGCAACTTCCGAGAGGGCTGGCCACGAGCTTCCGGGGTCAGTAGAAAGTCTCTGTAGACAAGAACGCTATCACCAACCTTCAAATCACTGGGCGTTCTCGTCTGGTCTGCGTATAGAGCTTGCCTTGCCTGGGCGTCGAGCATAGCATCTCGAGCTATCCTTAGTGCGGCTTCCTGCTCATGAAGCCAATCGACCGAATCACTCCTTTCCCCTCCCGTAAGAATGAATTCGGGCGGGGACTTAGGGTCAGACCCATAGTTCAGATAGAACGGTGTATTAGCTACAGATGACTGTTGTGAACTATTTATTGCAAACTCGCAGAGTGGTAGAAGCGAATCCCAATTGTCCTGTCTCAAGTTCACAAATGCTCTTAGAACATCTCCCACTTGCCGGTTAACTCTCTCTGTCAAACCATCCGTTTGAGGGTGGTTAGCAGTGCTGAATGCCAATTTAGTTCCTAGCTGAGAGAATACTTCTTTGAAAAAAGCTGCAGTGAATCGTGGATCGCGATCGGAAACAATGGTTGAGCTCAGCCCGTGCAGACGAAACACGTTTTGAATGTACAGTTGAGCGCTGCCCTTAGCATCAATCTTCGAGTTTGTTGGAACAAGATGTACGCATTTCGTAAGTCGGTCCACAAAGGTGTAAATTGCGTCGAAGCCACGAGAAGTAAGGGGCAATCCAACAATAAAATCCATTGAGATATCCTGCCAAGGACTATTAGGTATTGGAAGTGACTGGAGAAGCCCTGTTCGTGGCTGACCTCCCTTCGTTCGCTGGCAGAGATCACAGGTTTTGACAAATCTCTTGATATCGAGACCCATTCGGGGCCAGTAGAAAAAACGTGCTAGGCGGAAGTACGTTCGATCACGACCCGGGTGGCCAGCCGTTGCACACTCATGGTGTTCTTGAATGAGCTTTAACCGGACACCGCACTGTGGTATGCACAACCGGTTATTGGGGGATGCCTTGAGGTACAAGCGATCAGTGGATTCGTCCCAATAATAGCGATCATGCAAATTATCTCGGAGAGAATGCTTCAATCTTTCTATGATGGGAGTTAGCTCTTTGTCTCTCTGGTAGGCATCTGATATTGTATTGGACACGTCATCATTCATTGCTAAAGCATACTCAATAGCATTCAAACGTGGTACTGCATTCTCCACGAGGTTACTCTCATGGAGATCTGGGCGACGCGAAAGGGGATCTGCAGGGTTCTCTCTGCCGGGTCTGTGACGGACTGTGTAGTTATAGTCAGCTAGGAATTCAACCCATCGCGCCTCTCTCTTTGTAATGCTTGGTTTTGTTTTCAGATAAACTACCGCCATGTTGTCTGTAATGACCTCAAAGTGTTGAAAGAGGTAGATGCGCCAGGTCTTTAGCGCAAACACTACGGCCAATGTTTCTCTTTCTGTAGCTGTATAATTCTGTTCCGCAGCAGACAATTTTCGGCTAGCATAAGCCACTGGATGCCAGGCATCTTCCTCTAGTTCTTGGAGAAGAACACATCCCAAGGCGAAATCGCTTGCATCTGTTACCACTCTGAATGGTCGGTTCACATCAGCCAGCCGCAATAGGGGCGCATTCAACAAGGCATGCTTTAGCGATTCAAAGGCATGTTGCCGAGAGCTGTTCCACGCGAATCGTGCATGTTTTCCCGTTATCTCCTCTAAGTTCTTAGAGAGCGATGAGTATTGATCTATGAATCGCCTAAAATAATTCGTAAATCCAAGAAATTGCCTCGCCTCTGTGACGGAAGTCGGAGCGGGCCAGACCTTTACTGCGGCAATCTTGTCTGGGTCAGGGGCGATGTGCAGTCCATCGATGCAATGTCCCAGGAACCGCACACTCTCCACGCCAAATTCACATTTTGACCGTTTGCAAAATAACTGGTTGTCCCGGAGCACGCTCAATACCGACCGGACATGCTGCATATGCTCCGACCACGTTTTGCTGAAGATGAGTATGTCATCTAGGAACACGACTACGAACTCCCTCAGATATGGTTGAAGAATCGTATTCATCATGGATTGAAATGTTGCCGGTGCATTGGTGAGACCAAATCCCATGACCCTAAATTGGTAATGCCCAAAGGGAGTGTTAATCGCGGTTTTGGGCACGTCCTCAGCTTGAATGCGAATCTGATTATACCCTGATCGGAGGTCTAGTTTCGTGAAGTACCTAGCGCCCTGTACGGTATCGAATAAATCATCCACATTGGGCAAGCACGCCTTGTTCTTAACAGTTATCTTGTTTAGCTCCCTCCAATCGCAGACCATGCGTAACGAACCATCAGCTTTCTTGACAAAAAACACCGGTGCACCAAATGGGGACTTACTTGGTTCTACGAAACCCTTTTTCAAGAGTTCTGTGAGCTGTTTCTTCAATTCCTCCATTTCTGGCCTGGGCAGGCGATAGGCAGGTCGCGATGGGGGTGATGAGCCTTCCTCCAGGCGGATTTCGTGGTCTACAGACCTCTCTGGTGGGAGTCTAGCTGGCAGATCATCCGGGAAAAGATCGTCATAGTCACGGAACATGGCCTTGAGATCTGGGTGCTCGTTCTGAGTGGATTTGTCGGGAGGTTCCTTGCCAATGCCGTCTTCTACGCTGACCCACGCCAGAACACCTTCGTCTCCACTCCTAAGGGCATGCCTAGCCTGACGACCAGATATGAACATCGCCTCCACAGGAGCGGTCGGTTCGCTTTGACTGGGCGACGCACAAGGCAAACCATTCGAGTTCAACCTGACTTCATTCGTCCGGAAGTTTATGTCTGGATTGTTACGCGTTAACCAAGGTTTCCCCAATATAGCGTCATAGCGATGAAGGGGGAACACCGTGAAGGTTTGGTTATCGCTGAAGTCGCCTACGATAACCTTCAATTCATGGGTCGTCTCCATGGGAAACGAGCTTGATGCTCCATCAGCCAGCGTGACATTCAGGTTTTCCGAGCCAATTTCGGTTGGCAGGTTAACTCTCCTGGCAAACTGTTCGGCAATGAAATCATGGGTCGAGCCCGAATCTATTAACATAAGCGCGCGACGACCGTTGATTTTGCCTTCTACACGCAGGAGCTCATGTTCCGTTTCCACATTGACGCTGGTAACCTGGGCCTCAATAGTTGGTGTAACATCTCGCTTGAAATTGGCTTCAGAGCATTCAGCATCATCGTCAACATCCTCCACAGCGAGGCTACTGAATCGGTTACGGGTAGAGACGGAGCACACACTACACGCAGGTGATGCCTTTTCTTGCTGCGTCAGTAATCGCATCGGCCTTACTGACGTCCACCGTTTGGGTGATCTCGATGCTGCGGGCAATTCTGGGCCATATGGCCTGGTCGACGACATGCGAAGCAGCCCCCCTGGGCTCGTAATGTCTCACGTTCCTCGGGGCTTAGTTTTGTTAGCTTTTTGCTACCTGATGGTGGTGCGAATCCCGGCGCGGTCGCCAGTGGTGGTCTGCGCTGAAATCGGCTGTCTGAGGCGACTGCTAGCGCTGACTGAACGGCGGCTGACAGTGTAGTGGGGTGTTCCTTCACTACCAAGGTCCGCATGTTACCGTGCAGGCCGTTGACAAATAGCAAGGCTCTGGAGAGTTCGTCAAGTTCCGGCACCTGTAAACTTAGTCGAGAAAACTCCGTTACGTACGATTCAATTGACCCACGCTGTTGGATAGAGAACATATCCAACCGCACTCTTTCCCCATCATAGTGCGGGCCATACACTTGCGCTAGGGCGCTTTTCAAAGAATGCCAATCCGAAAATTGCTCACCTGCTTCCAGGGAAGAAATTAGCCAAAGACGCGCATTCCCAGCGAGGTAGCTAGCCGCAAAGTTAACTTGGCTCTCCGGGTCACCTTGAGGTGAGCACTTCAAGGCTAACTCGACCGTAAATACCCATTCTTTGAACTCGGAAGGGTTGCCATGGAAAACATTCGGTTCTCTGGTAACGCGTTTGACGCTCGGGCTTGTCTGGGAGAGAGAACGCGATCGACACGGGGCTAGATCCGGAGGACTTGAGCTTGATGTAGCAGGTAATTGATGTCGTCCAACTGTAGCAGCCACGTTGTCCCGAGCGCGGCGGATCTCACGGAAAGCGGCGTATAGCAGAGCAGTAGCGGCCAGGAGCACAAGGCACGTCAAAGGGCAAACGATGATCTCAACCATCCTCAAGCTACCAGTGTAACAGTATAGACTTGATTGATTGGAGAATTCGTCGAATGATGTTCAAACCAGAGGTTATAAAGCAAAAGAAAGGTGAGAACCGCAGGAGTGAGAATAGTAGGAACACAAGGTGTTACCATAAGACAAGCAAGAAGTGTCAAGATAAAACTATTACAGGTTATATCTTTGCACCATGGAACAGTATTTTATTTTGATGAGAAAATACAGTTCTCCGATGCAAAATCGACGACAGTATTACACTATTAGCACGTACCGGTTTTCAAACTCAGATGGCTTCGATCCGGCCTGCTGATGGATCGTGTCCAAATAGCCGCGCAGTACAATGTACAGTGCGTGCTCGTTGCTGCAGCCTTTCTCGAACTGTGAAGTGCAAGTAATGCTGCCAGACTCCGCAACCAATCGCTGCAGATTCCGGCACATCTTTGCAGCAAATGCAGTCGTTCCGCAATAATTGAACGACCCATTTGCCACATTCACACCAGGACGTAGTGCCAGCGCGATCGCAAGGTGGCCAGCAGTCTTCTAAGCAAGCAGCAGGGTCAGTGTCGGCAGCAGCCGCTGCAGCTTCGTTAGCATTTACACCAACTTGCTCCGCACTCGCCATCTGTATGATCTCATCCTCGGTATACTTCGGTTCCTTCGCTAGCGTCCAACTCGCTCTCCTCGGAGTCACTGTCATCTCCTGACAAGGAGCTAGCCCTACCCTGAATCGTCTCCACTCATACTGCTTGACTTTCCGCCTTGAACATTCACGACTTCACTTTCTCCTCCGTTCAACTCCAAGTAAAGGTTCCGAGCTCCATGCAGCTCCTCTATCTCTTTGACGTCACAGATTCGTGTCGCCATGGCGGTGCCAAACACCGGGGATCAAAGTGATAATCTCCGGTTACAGTCACAGGATGAAGACGAGACATACACCAATCGACTCAGCTGATTTTTCCCAATAACATCTGATTTTGATTTTAGGGTGAACTTCCCCTTTAAACTCTGTTCGTTTTCCCCGGATAATGAACACCGCCACGAAAAGTCCCCCGTGCATGATTCGGCAAACACCATCAGGGTCCACTGCGCGAAGTCTGTAAACGCGAAATGCTTAAATAAAATGGAAAGAGACGTAGAACCGTCCGAGTTGGAAGGCTGTTGGTTATCGCATTCCGGACCTGATGCAGCTGAGCATCATGTCGTGGAATGTCGGTATCACATCAATCAGTGTTGTGCTAATTGTTGCACGTTCTGAATCAGTAGCTCGCTTATAGTAGTCAGCGTTGGACACGAATAAGGGATAAATTGTAAATTTTTGCTTGGGATTTATGGAGAATATTTAGATATTTGAGAAGAATACTTCCACCGCCTACATTCAATGTGTATTTTTACGACAAACACTATCCTAGAAAGGACGGGAAAGGGGAAGGAACCGGGAATAATTAGGGCCACGCAATGCTCGAATCATACGTTTAAAAACATACTAAGAACACAGCCCTTCAGAGAGACATAACAAACAACACACAAAGCACACACAAGAGGGATATCGGGACGCCGTTCCGATTTACATGCAAGGAGCAACTCGACGTACCAGAGATCTCGGCATCATGAAAAGACACTTGCCTGTGGCATTAGTAGCCGGCTCCCTTGTTTCGCCTTCAATGCTCCTGCCCACAGTCATCTTCGTGTTCACGGATAACATCACTGCTGCCACTGTCAACAACCACATCATCACCTGCAGTGGTTGTACGCGACCCATCACCAGACTTACATTTGTGTCAGTTGTACCCTCTCAAGTCCCTGTGGAGAGATAGGAAAGACGTTTGTTATGTTGCTTTGCTTCAAACAAGGGTTGGAGAGGCTAGACTGGCAGCCGTCTTAGAAACTGTTAACTGTATATATAGGCGAAAACAGTGTTGTAGCAGGTGTTGCTTCACTTTCTGCCTGACTTAAAGCATGTGTAATATTTATACCGCAGGTTTACCGTGGCTGGCAGTTCAGCAGGTTCAGGTTGCTGAGATCGTAGGCTAAACGTGCCAATGCGAGTATTCTGCTCATTCGCTCTTTACCGGTAACCGGTATGCTCAAGTCCTGCGTACATGTACATATACATATACATGAGCACTCTGGCGCTAGAGCGATGAGCTATCTTAATGTCTGTGTCTTAATGTCTGTGGTGCCTCCTTTGCACCATGGCTGGTAGCTCGGCATATTTAGCTCTTAGCTAGTGTACTGATGAAGCCTGTCTACAGCATTGGGTAAACATAAACATGTATATTCCAGTCAAGTGCCATCATCGGTATCTCAATGCCACAGACACATAGCTCGAACAATTCCAATATCGTGTATCAATGCAGTTGAAATAGTATCCTACTTCTTATAAAGGAGATTGGGTGATTCAAAGTTGTTCATCATGGGCTTAGATTCGTGAAGGACCACCCGCTAGTATTTCACGTCGTTCAGAAAATACAGGTGCTGAGGATAGTCAAAAGTCTCAAAACATCTTTAGAAGAACGTGACGGTTTTCCCTTTGAAATAAACAGAACAGAGATGATCATAGTGAATTGAACTACAACTGGTGATAATCAACACGGTGACTGGGTACACAGAGCGTGCCTTGGTGGAACTGGTTACACCCAAATACCATCGACTCCTAGTTCTATTTGGAGCGCATACCCCTGGACGAGTGACCCGAACGTGCCATCATAATTTCCAGTGGTCAATAAGCTTGCCAGACACTAGAGCTCCAAGTACATGTACATGTTCATGTGGGTTCAGCTAGAACGCATGTTGACTTCGGCCGGGGGAGGACCGGCACAGTCAAAAGAAGTAGCGGATTCATCCAATGCCCTACTCCTCAAATGTATGATTCTGGCCGAGCTCTACGGAGAAACGCGACATGGCCAAAATATTCAGCCAGCTCCTGAACGAAAGGCCTTCAAGCATACACCATCCTGGCTTCCCCGTGGTTCCCTGTGCAAGCACGTTGAACACGTGACTTGCCTATCTCCACACACACACACACTAGCCATGTCATTAACCTTGAGTACACGTCCTCCTGCTTCCTCTCACACTGTTCTGTGAACATTAGGCATGCTCTCGCACCCCTCTAACTTGCACCTCTGAACCCCTCATTGTGACTTTGGTGCACGGTATTTGGACCTGCCGTAGTGTTTGATCCGTCATTTTGTTTTGTTTTGATACTGGCAGGAGAGTCAGTAAGTCGGAACATCTACACCTGTGCAGAGTAACGTGATCCAAGGACCTAATAATTGTAGGTCCTGAAGTTGCACACTACTGCTTTGGGAACTGCATCTAAAGCTTGATCAATTTAATATCCACCATTTTATTTATTTGTTTTTTTAATATGTTCACATTCCCAATCTAGACTACTTTGTATGCATGTGTAGCACCAGCATAGGCTGCGGCTGTGTATCAGCGAGGCAGTGTGATGAAAGTCACCTAAAACATTATTATGATCACCTCGTGACCACAGTTCTCTGATGATCGCTTAGTGCGTGAAACACATTTCTCATTGTCTTATTATTGTTGAAAGCTCTGGCCTTCGACATTGAGCACTCTATTGGACAGCCTGGAACCTCTCGCATTTGAAGGAGTATCTCCTTCTTCGCCTGTGGTCACGAGTACATGTAGGATGGGGGATATTATTATTATCATGATGAAATGACCCAAAGACCTATCGAGGGGTTCATTTGATTGAGAGAACAGTGCTACTACTAGTATGTACAAAGAAAAGCAATGCTTGATGAGAAGAGAAACGGGGAACATCAACTGCAAGGTGGCGGAAATATGCGGAGTTAAATAGACCTGTACTTCAATTACATGTACTTCAATGGGTATACAAAGGAGAATGGATGCATTTTTCTCAAAGAGAGCCTCCTTGGCTGTTTTGACATGTTTGACTTCAGTCTCTTCCAGAGCCGCCAACGAACAGAGTCTGTGGTGCATGCAGCGACTTCTGAATTTCTGTAGTTTTCAGTGTTTCGCGGAACGTTACCACCAATTGCCGCCGCGTGCGTAGCTTGCAATGTGTTTTTCCACTCACAGGCATGTCAAGGGCTGGATTTCGTAGTGCAAAACAGGTGTGACCTGTAGAACGACAAAAGTGTTCATGCTACATGTCAGACTCATAGCACGGTATACTCTCGCTTTGACACAAGGTTGCGTTTGCCATGCTTCTGCATACTGTTCCGGTAAGCTGAGGGTTGTGAAGATTGACTGAAAAGTAACGTTACGATCCAAAGAACATTATCATAAGCAGGAATTCCCAGCGGCTCCCGGGGGGAGAAGGCAGAAAAGAAGATTCAGGAAGCAGTCGAAAGAAAAGCAATGAAGACAGGCAGGAAGTAGTACTGTAGTAGACTTTACAGGTATTATTTAACAAGGTAGTTCTGTTCGAAAAAGGTGAAGGAAATTGAAAGAAGCCAGATATCTACCGAGGCTGACTACCTCCACGTCTACTCCATTCGCCATGAGTTGACAGCAAAGGTAAGACGTAACTCGAGCTTGCTTTCTTACCTTTAAAATTCTGACGGTATACACATAAATAACATCACATTGAGGGACTTGTAGTTTTCCAGGTTCGTAAATTAAAGTTTACTTAAAGCAGTCCAAGTATACGCGACTAGGAATAGAACATAGAGGTTAGTCCCCAGCTCTTTCCATGAACGTAACCAACGTGTAGCAAAAATGAGGCACTTGCAATTGCTCAGGTTTTTTGGAACATTCAAATCTTCTTGACCAATACCAGTCTACGCAATAAGATTAGCAACTAAGTGATTTACAAACAGAAGTAGTTGACGTGATCAACGTGTAGCCGGGGTGTTCCGACGTGGTGAAGGCCTACCCATGGCCGCGTCGGGACATCACCAACCCCGTGTATAGAGGGCACCTTCTCGCGACAGTGTCATGATGGTGGCAGTAACTGTTGACAGCTGACGAGCTGAGAGACGTTCGCCATGGGCAGAAGTTGAAAGAAAAGAAGTTTATATACAAGTTGAGGTTTACGTAGCTACAAGACTACTAGGACGACATCCAGGAGCGATCAAAGAATACACGACGAACGTACGGAGTAGTCTCCAACCCCGAAAGCAAAATGAGGGTCAGATCCGGGTTCAACACCCATATGGTTCAAATGGTCCGCAGGGACCGGGACTCGGCCAACCGCGGAAGGTTGTAGTAAGGTCACTGTTTCCGAACACAGTGTCCTCCACCTTGTTTCATGCTGTCAATCTAACAATATGCGTGAACTATAACAAGGTTTATCTAACACTGGTTTTGAACCAGTGTTAGGTTATAATTATAATACACAGTCATGTACATTTTATCCTAACATACTTCGGTGTGGATGACTACACTCGTGCTCTGGCCAATGTCCGTACTAAGCAAGAGTATGCCTTATCAGAGTGCGTAGTAAGCGAGCTCCACTGTACATATTAATATGGTTCCAGAAAGGCAGAAGAGAACAGAGACAGTCGGCTAGGTCATTATTGTAACGCTACAGTTATAGCCAGTTTGCTATGTGCATGAAACGCATCATAACAACAGTGACCTAGCTGGCTGTCTCTGTTCTCTTCTGCCTTTCTAGTAATACTCCATCCTTGTGGTGTTGAGCACTCTAGGCAATCTGGGAACTCTCGCTCTTGTAAATAATAATATTATTGTTCTACATTGTTTCTACACTAGTCGCGAAATTTCATTTGCTTTTCTTAACGAATTCACCTCCGAAGGAAACTTGGTGATTGCGTGAATACTAGTAAACACAATGGAACCATGTTCTGTACTTGAAATTCATAATTGTAGCAAACAGCATCGTGCTAGCATAACGCAGGCATGTAAATTGTACGTGTGAAACGTGTGCACACGCATGAAGTATGTAAATTCCTCGGAGTTCTCGTTGGAACCCGGCGGAATGCAGGACTACAAGTTCTGAATTGGTCGGCCGGTTATGAGCTGAAGACATAGTACAAGAGCACACACTGGTGATAGTGCGTGCAGAAACTGTTGGAGGTGTAGAAACCTAGTATTTGTTTGAGTGTTTTGCGTGCATAAAACAGTGGACAACCTCGCCCACGATGGGTACGGTCGTTCAATCAGGGGACGTGTTGAAAGGGGAGGGGGGGGTATCAAAATACGAAAATGGGATTGTAGTGTGATATTCTTGCTCTAAATCCCTTCAACACTTCTCTCTCATCATGTCCTAGTACGCGTTGTATTAAACATTGGTGGTCAGACCAACATTGCGATGGAGGCCAGCCGCATCAACTTCACTATGTTTGATAGGGTTAAGCATGGGAGGCCTCTCCACTGCCCGGGACGACAGCCGTACGGGCAGTATCGCCAGTACCGTCAATAACCCAGCGTACAGTTATTGTCAGTAGCCAGTATGTACTATTCATGCCCGCTGCACTAATATACCCCTCAAATTCAATAAAGAATTTTCATCATTCTGTGAGTGCCTTGCTTATTATTAATATTATTGAAAATAACGCTGAGTAATTGCCCGAATGTATTAAAACCAGCATTTGCTTCCGGGAAGGTTTCACAAAAATAAAATAAAAACACTATGGCTCAATGGAACTGCACATACGGAAAGCTGCTTCCTTGCTCGGTAAGAAACAAATCACTGCCTGCTCGCTTGATGAAGTAAAAATAAACAGTACACATACCACACCAAATCAGCATACGGGCAAATTCAAAAAGCCAAAATGTCCTGTTTATGCCCGCTGTCGGGATAAATTAGATTTGTTCGTCCAGCACCTTCCCTCATTCAACAGAATTTCCGTAGCACCGATGGTGATGGATTATATAGGGAAAACTGCAGTGGAATACAGCGGGTGGAGACCGCGGGTGTTGTGCACTCTGCAAAAAATAGAAACACAAGATAATACTCTACAGGACATCATTACTATAGCACTGGCACGCTGGCAGCACATCAGTGTTAGACCACAAACCTGGGTTTGGCAGACCCTGTACCAAGCGGTATAATTATTGTATTGACCCTACAAATATAAATGCACCAAAGCGCTGTGGAGTGTGGATCGAACGTGCATCCATGGTAGGGTAAGAATTACTGCAATGTCATAGATTTCGCTCAGTTCAAACGTGTAGATCTACATGTACATGTGAACGGATACTCGCTCGATTTAGGTTTATTATTATTATTATTCACACATATCCGCCGGATGAGTACGCGTGGCCCATGCACCATGGGGACCCACGAATACAAACCAGCATATGTTCCCTCAGCAATACAAGCAAGCAAGCACGCAAAGATAAATGAGAGCCCAGGCAGGTTTAGGCCTGTGGAGAATTCATACAAATATATAATACAAAACGAAACGTGTGCAGACGTCTGAAGTACGTGCATTCCTCTGGGGTCCCGTTGGAACCCGACGATATGTAGGACAACAAGTTTTGAATTGTTCTGCCGGTTGTGAGCTGAAACGGATTGAACTAGAGCACACATTGGTGATAGTGCCCGCGTGGGGTTTCTAAAGAAGATGCTGTTGGAGGTGTAGAAACATGGTTTTGTGTGGTGGGGTCGGGGGGGGGGAGAGGGTGTATGTAGAAGAATATGGGAAACCCCGTCCACGATGGGCCATGTGTCTATCATGAACGACCTCAATTCAGCAAACTGACACGGATGTGCACAATGTAGTGGATGTGTGAGTTTGCAGTACCCATAAGCCACCTCCCTACAATGCAGGCAAGATCGTATTACCAGAGAATAGCACATTGGTTTATGTGATTGCTACGGTGAGATCCTCGTGCCCTAAATCCTTTCAATATTAGCCCCAAGATTGCAGCGGAGGTTATCCCCATCCATTTCACTACGTTTGGTAAGGTGAAATAAGTGTACGAAGTAGCGGTTGCGACTTCGGCGATGATTTGTAAGAAAGGGTTTGCTCTCCACACTGTTTTGCCCAGCGCGGGCTTGCGACTAATTGGTTTGGAGGTGACAGCGTTGCGAATGACCGAGGGTCCTCAACGTCTGGTCTCACCGTCCAGGAGCGACACTGACTCACGCTGCTATCTGGTGTTCACGAAGTGTTTGTCGCGCTGGAAATGGAGCGTCTCTGTACGTTTGTATTCCTGGTGATGTTTGTGCCTGGAGAGCACTATATAAGTGGTGCTCTTCAGGCACAATCTTCCTCAGCCTACTCAAGCTCAACTGATATGGGGTGAATTCCCCGAAACACTGTGTATTGAGCAGGGAGCGATGCTTTCTTGCAGGTTTGCCGAGTCGAAGGTTCGATAGACTTCTCGTGTGCTCTGGATGGCAGTCGTGAGTCAGTCAAGTGTCAAGTAAAGTCGGCGGAATAGTGCGAGCTCCAGTGTGGGGAGCAAACCCTTTCTTAGAAATAAGTAGAAACAAATAAATAAATTTGAAACTCGGATGTTGAGCCATAAATAAATGTAGAAAGAAAAAAGACATAAGGATACGAGTTAAGAGTAACTCTCCATCACTGTAACTGGATGCTATAATACAGTAAGAAAGTGCAATAACTAGGCACAAAACTGTCGAATGTCTCAGTACTCTTGTCAGTTTTGTGCCTAATTATTGCGCTTTCTGACTGTATATAGTATCCAGTTACAGTGATAGAGAGTTACTCTTAACTCGTATCCTTATGTCCTTTTCCTTTCTAAATAAATATATAAATAAGGTGGGCGAAGTGAAAAATATAATTGGGGGCTCACGAAGTTTGAGATGCATAATAACTTTACCGAGACTGCATTATTCCCTTGTGAAACAGCCTCCAGCAAGACGTCAAATTCATGGCCATCGCATTGACGACGAGCCGGCACCTCGAAACCCTCAGAAGTTGTCCAGTTGACCAGCAGAAGTGGAGTAACATATGTTCTGCGGTGGTGTAAACACACATGACCGGCTGTGATTTTGGTGTGGACACACATGACCGACTGTGATGTTCAATGATCTCATTTCATTTATCTTATTTTATTGTTATTTCTCTAGGTTTAGAAGCGGTGAGGCCTCCTGCAGTTTCATACAGAATTACAGATGGAGCGGACTCGCTCCCTTCTATTTACACTGCAACGTTCCAACACATTTTTCGTAGTTAAAACAACGTTTCTTCATATAGCCCTCATCAGGTTTGCAATGATGTGCACTCTACAAAGGAGCAGCAAATATACTGTGCTGTGCTGTGTTTGCGCCAAATTTGTCAGCTACAAAGGTGGCGAAAGGGATTCGTGATATATTAATATCCAGATACGATATATTCACAGCAGTGCCCAGCCAGCATTAGTGTTTACTTGCGGCCGCAAGTGGCGGATTTCAACAGCTTCTCGCAGTTTTCTGCTTGCTCTGTCGCCTGCCCTTGCCAGGACTGACACAGCCGAGAACACACTATCCGCAGCAGCTTTACTCTCGCCAGAATGTTTGTCGCGCACGTGGTCACCCCATGGCTTATCGAGAGTGCGACGGCGTGCCTCGCCATTGTGCTCCCGAATTCTTGTTTCCAAGGAGCGTTCCGTCTCCCCTACATACGTTTCCCGGCACCATTTGCATTGCAATTCGTAGACTACATTCTTTGTCCTACATACTCGTTCGCCTCCAGACTGACAGGTAATGCAAGGCCCTAGTGGACGTCCTCTTCGTCTTTTTTCAGTAATGTTGGGCTCGTTTACGCACTTGGGTGGTAACAGCGCCGAACGGCACAGTTGACGCCTGAGGCTGCCCGAGTGCTCGTATACGACACGTACCGGCAACTTGTATTTCCGTATTGCTTTGTTCACATGGTGGTGTACTTCATCGGACTTGAACGGTAGTTTAAGGAAGGCAGAGCGGGGATTACCGCGTCGTCTACGCCGAGGTTTCCTGGCAGCTTCCCTTGCTTCCGATATGGTACTGTCTGGGTAGTTATTTATGCGCCGTTGTTTGTGTATTTTTTGTTCGCTCTCGGCTTGCATCATGGGGTTAGACGATAGTCGCTGTGCCCTTAGGAATTGAGATTGAGCGACGGCTAACTTGATGTGGTGAGGAACTGCCGATGAATAATCCACCAGTAGGCCACTACTGCATGCCTTCTGAAACAATTTGAATGACAGCTCTCCGGTTTGCCCAACCGCGATCGTTACGTCCATGTAGTCTATGCAGCCACTGTCACAACTTAATTCATGCGTGAATTTGATACGTTCGTGGCTGGCGTTGAATCTTTCTATGAGCTCCAGAAGGCGCTGCCTACCATGTGTCCATAGGATGATGATATCGTCGATGTATCGTCTGAACAGAATAGGTTGGAAGGGTGAGTCCTGAAGAAGTCGTGTCTCAATGGTGTGCATAAACAGGATGGCAAATGGAGGTGCCAGGTTGTTCCCCATAGCAACCCCATCTAGCTGGTGGTAGATCTGTCTGCCAAATCTGAAGTAGTTATGACTCAGAACAAACTTCAGTAGTGTCCTGACTTGGGTCACGCTCAGCCCGAGCATATCAACTCTGTTATGGTGTTGCTCTAGCACGTCACTAACGGCATTCACGCCCTCTTCGATCGGTATGCTGGGATACAAACCCACCACATCCATCGTAGCCAGAATCGTTCCAGCAGGTGCTTTAAGGCCAGGGTATATGGTGCGGATATTGTCTAGCTCGTCTTTGGTGTTGATGAGGTGCGATGGGACAAATGCAAGCAGTTGATGCAATATGCGTTCGAGAACCATCGAAATTCCTGTGACTGGACTGTCACAAGAAGACACAACAGGTCGGAGGGGCAAATTTTGCTTGTGGTCCTTTGGAAGACCGTATAGTTCCGGGAATCGTGTGTCATGAGGGAGTATTGCAGTCAGAAGATCAGGATCCATATTCATTGCATTGCTCTTCCAGTATGGATTTAATCTCTTTCTCATACGCAGTGATAGTTAGATCCACTTTTCTGTACATAGTGCTGTCAGACAGAAGTGCCTCTGCCTTCTCCAGGTAGAGTTCCTGTTTCATAGCTACTAGCTTCTTGCTCTTGTCGGATTGCTTTATCACTACACTGGGGTCATGACGAAGTTCTCTCAGTCCGTCGCGTTCCTCTTGCGTCATATTATGCTTGGGAGGTCTTTGTTTGCCATATGCTGCCAAAACTTCGTCCTTGAAGTTGGCCATCTTTCTTTCCCCATCCTGGCTCATTCTGGGCGGTTGCTTGAAGCCATGCTTCTTTAGCTTCCACAGCCTGCGATCACAACTCGGTACCGGTATCGTGGTCGTCCTCTGGCTGGTCCACACCCTGAGGCCGCGCCTGCTGCCATCTCAAAGTGTAGGCCATCCGTTCTACGGAGGTGACCACTTCTGATTTCTCACGACTGGTTAACTTGCCCGTGGACGGTACAAAACCGGGTCCCAGTTCCAATACCCGTCTGGCATTGTCTGTTACACACGAGTCCATGACAAGCGTTCGCGGAGAATGCTCCATTCCCGTCCGGCCGGGACTACCCAGGGCTGTCCCACTCTGGTAGCCTATGGACACATGGTAGGCAGCGCCTTCTGGAGCTCATAGAAAGATTCAACGCCAGCCACGAACGTATCAAATTCACGCATGAATTAAGTTGTGACAGTGGCTGCATAGACTACATGGACGTAACGATCGCGGTTGGGCAAACCGGAGAGCTGTCATTCAAATTGTTCCAGAAGGCATGCAGTAGTGGCCTACTGGTGGATTATTCATCGGCAGTTCCTCACCACATCAAGTTAGCCGTCGCTCAATCTCAATTCCTAAGGGCACAGCGACTATCGTCTAACCCCATGATGCAAGCTGAGAGCGAACAAAAAATACACAAACAACTGCGCATAAATAACTACCCAGACAGTATCATATCGGAAGCAAGGGAAGCTGCCAGGAAACCTCGCCGTAGACGACGCGGTAATCCCCGCTCTGCCTTCCTTAAACTACCGTTCAAGTCCGATGAAGTACACCACCATGTGAACAAAGCAATACGGAAATACAAGTTGCCGGTACGTGTCGTATACGAGCACTCGGGCAGCCTCAGGCGTCAACTGTGCCGTTCGGCGCTGTTACCACCCAAGTGTGTAAACGAGCCCAACATTACTGAAAAAAGACGAAGAGGACGTCCACTAGGGCCTTGCATTACCTGTCAGTCTGGAGGCGAACGAGTATGTACGACAAAGAATGTAGTCTACGAATTGCAATGCAAATGGTGCCGGGAAACGTATGTAGGGGAGACGGAACGCTCCTTGGAAACAAGAATTCGGGAGCACAATGGCGAGGCACGCCGTCGCACTCTCGATAAGCCATGGGGTGACCACGTGCACGACAAACATTCTGGCGAGAGTATAGCTGCTGCGGATAGTGTGTTCTCGGCTGTGTCAGTCCTGGCAAGGGCAGGCGACAGAGCAAGCAGAAAACTGCGAGAAGCTGTTGAAATCCGCAACTTGCGGCCGCAAGTAAACACTAATGCTGGCTGGGCACTACTGTGAATATATCGTATCTGGATATTAATATATCACCAATCCCTTTCGCCACCTTTGTAGCTGACACATTTGGCGCAAATACAGCACAGCACAGTATATTTGCTGCTCCTTTGTAGAGTGCACATCATTGCAAACCTGATGAGGGCTATATGCCGAAACGTTGTTTTAACTACGAAAATGTGTTCGAACGTTGCAGTGTAAATAGAAGGGAGCGAGTCCGCTACGTCTGTAATTCTCTAAGTTTGATTTTCTATATTTAATAGTTTCTAAGTTTGATTTTCTATAATAGTTCAATTTTGTTTTAGTGTTCTTTAGTACAACGAAGATTCCTGACGAGTGTTGTACGAGAACTTGTTTGAATCCTTATTTTCTCTACACCATTTCTTCACATTTTCATCGTTTTGTTGCACATCGTCTCCACAGTTTTACATTACATGAATAAAGTTTACACAAATGTCGATCAAGCTTGTATTACTGATTGCGGTTATCAAATTGTTGTCTCCTGACCGTTTGTTCAATTATTTACAAAACCAGTTAATGTTCAATTATTTATTATAATTTATTTTAAGAAAGAGCTTTGCTGATGTGGTGTATTTATTTATTTTTTATTTATTTATTTATTTCACCTTCCCATTGCCAGAGAATATAGGCCAATATGGAGGGAGGGGGCGGTAGCCACAATCTGCTGGTACTTTTGCTCACCTCACAAAGATTCACCTAGGGTTCCCTGTAACAAGGCCATGCCTGTTGGGACTCCCCTAGTCAAATAATAAATACTACTACTACTACTAGCCAGCCATGGCAGTAAACAAAAAAAAGCAAAAATAAATAAATATTACACATTACTGGAGGCAAAGAGAAACAAATCTGGATGAAGAATTAGCAGTTATTAGAACACGAGCTTCATGTTGGCCTTTAAATCCTTTAGCGTACAAGACGATTTTACTGATAGAGGCAGGGCCAGCCAGAGAGAATAGGCAGCGAAAAACGGAGATCTGGTATAAGCTGAGGTTCGGGCTTTAGGTAAAGTGCAGGGATTGCGCGTAGGACGAGTGGGAAGAAACCAGTTATATTTACGCAAGTGTGGCGGGGCTTTGTCAAGACGAATAGAATGAACAACAATACACAGCTTTCGATCCGCTTGACGAGAGATAGGGAAGGTGTTAAACATATCATACAGCTCGGCAGAAGGAAAGTATGATGGTTTGCGGAAAAGGACTTTGAGTATCCTCTTATTGTGGACTTCCAGGGTACTCATTAATGATTTACTTTTCACTCACAAAGTGACTGTTCAGTACATGGGGTAGTGGTCTACCAGAGCAATCACACTCACCACCATGGTGGTTTTCCAGAAATGAGTAGAAGCAAAAAACCACACTCGAAGCCACAGAATAGATAAATAGCCGAAAAATATCTAAATCCATCAAAGAACCGCCAGCAAGCGGGAGAAAAGGCCGTGAAATCAAGTGAAACAGCATGGCCAGTGGTGAGCATGGGTGACTGGGCAGCAGGGGAGCGCCTGAAAAACAATGACTCCCTACATTCCTAGCCGCGACCGCTCAACCGGGCTAGAGGAAAAACACGCCTTTCGGCCAAAAAACCTTTCTATTTTCATTAATTCCTGCCCCGCTGCCAGTCAGACCCAAGAATAGAGATAGCAAGAGATGGTATGTAATAACCGGTGTATGTCATAATCATAAGCCACACACATAGGCATAGATTGTCAAGAAGAACAGCGGACGACTCCCATGAAAACAGGGTGGGTGGGCGGGCAACTTCAACTACCACGAGGAAAAACAAAGACCACGATGGCAGGTTCAACGGAGTTGCGCAGAACAAGAGCAAATGCACGAAAATATTTGTGAGTGAAAAATACGTTTTTTGCACTCTTTCGCTACGCTCAGCGGTGAAAAAACAAAACTTAGTAGGGATGACCAGGCGGTTGAGCAATAGAGAAAAATGGGGAGAATATAGCAATGATAAAAAGGCGAATGCATTCAAGCGGTAGGTGGGAGCAGTGAGACACGAGGTAGCCAACAGCTTTACTGACTTTGCTACAGACATAGTCGACATGTCTACTAAACGATAAGTCTGAGTCAATGACCAAACCAAGATGTTTGTGTTGTTTTACCACTGTGAGGTCTGTGAGGAATCCGGGAAGAGTGAATGCATAGGTTGGCTCTGAGTTCGGTAGGAATAATATCTCAGTCTTGGCGATATTAGGTCTTAGTCTCCAGGTAGTCATCCACTGATGGACTTCGTTGATACCGCGCTGGAGACTGTCTCGCAGCCTGTCTAGACACTCATTGAACCGGAGCAGTGCAGTATCGTCAGCAAATAAGGACACACCTTAAACATGACTGGGAAGATCATTTATATACACTAGGAAAAGGAGGGGCCCTAGGATGGATCCCTGGGGCACTCCGGACAGAACAGGTGAAGCATCTGAGAGAAGTTCACCTACAAAGACAACTTGCGTTCTGTCGGATAGGTAGTCTGTAATCCACTCCAGCGCTGAGTCACATACACCGAAAACTTTGGAGAGTTTAGCAAGTAATGCACGGTGCCACACGGTGTTGAAAGCTTTCTCGAGGTCGAAAAAGCACATGGCAACTTTCCGCCCCATATGACGATGGTCGGCACTGTTTTGGATCAGCTTGGTGAGCTGTAGAGCGGTCGAGTCACCACGACGAAACCCAGATTGCGCGGGATCCAGAGCAGGAAAAATATGATTATATAATTGATTGAAGAAGAGCCGTTCGCAAAGTTTGGAAATACAGGACAGGAGGGAAATTGGGCGATAGTTACTAGCTTGAGATTTGCTGCCTTTGCACTTGTAAATAGGCACAATTTTAGCCAGTTTCCAGTCAGTAGGGAACTTGCCTGTGGTAAAGGAGAGGTTAAATAGGCGGCTAAGTGGAAAAGAAATCGCAGGAGCTAGCTTCTTTATCATATTGTTCGTGATACCGTCTAGCCCTGGCGCTTTCCAAGATTTCAGGTTTGAGATGGCTTTACGAACATCTGCTGTAGTGATATGAACGCGGGTGAATTGGCGAGTAAGACGAGTGTCATATTGGAGAGGGGGCATTACTAAACGTGGGTCATCAGGCACCACGACATAGGTAAACTGCTTGTTGAGGATGGTTGCTTTTTGGAAGCTGTCAGACACCAGCAGTTCCATCAGGGCTTGCAATGTCAGGGATGCCAGGTTTTACTTTGTGCGATCGCTCACTGCGGACAAACTGGTGAAGCGTAGTGCTGCCTGAGGTAAGTGTTGTTTTCATTGAACGAATGTACTGGCGGTGGCACTAGCGGGAGAGATGTCTCACCTGGTTCCGCTGTGCCTTATATGCTGATAGGTTGTAGTCCGTAGGGAATTTTTTGTTGGAACTCATGTGAAATCTACACCGTGATTGTTTTCGTCAAATATTATATATTTATTATTTAAAGGATTTCCCAAAGGCATAGCCTATCGGGGGGATCTCCTAACAGTGAAATGATCATTGAATTATATACTTGTGAAGCGACTTGTGCAGGCAAATATATGCTGTTTATAATGAGCGCGAAATTGTGTCCGAATTATATCTTCTCTTTTTCTCTCTCTCTCTCTCTGCAACGGTGCCTTTTGTTACTCCATTGTCGTGAGTTCCCTTTGGAACGTAGACGGGGATTATTAT